TGTGTTTTCATCTGGTGAGTTGACAAACTTCTCTAGTGGTGGTAATGGCAGATTATGCCTTAATGTTGACGCTTGGGAACAGGCTGATTTTCGTGTATTCAAGTACTGGGGATGTCTGGTTACAAGAACATTACTAACTGGACCTGGGAAATGACAAAGGCCAAGAAAAATCCAACAATTGTAGGTATGAGATAAGCTAATAAAATGATAGAACTCGGGTCCCTGATGGCCATTCAGGTTCTAACTCAATCACCCAACTTACATAGCAATACACTCTACTAAACTCTAGATAAGTGCACTTTTCCAATACATGGCTATATATCACGTTCATGCTGGAGCAACTAAATTTTTGATAGAGATCTAAGTAACATGATATAATCTGTACTAGAAACCATTTTGCAGATATCATGCTGGAGCTAAAGGATACGCAAGTTGCATTGACCAAACACTTCACACATTGTAATGAGAATGAGAAGATACAGTGCCACAACCATCAGCCATAATCAGACATTTTCACTGTGCGACCAACTGATTTTGGGAATTACATTGACATCAACAAAATAAAAGATAAGTAGACCTTAAGCAATATGGTACTTAATATTAACTTATTATAGATAAATGGCCTCTCAAGGCAGACTGCGTAGAAGATTATTAACTGAACAAGCATATGATTCGGGAGTACCTTTTGCATGTCTAAAGATGCGAATAAGATTTCGTGCTCTGGTATCCCACACTCTAATCATGCCATCCTCCGATCCAGAAACCAAAAGAAATCCATCAACACTAGAAGCCAAGCAGGTTACGGCTTTGCTGTAATAGGTTTATTATATCCATTCAAACATACGAATCAGAAAAATTTAAGAAGTAATGTTAACAAGGTGAAGCATGTTGGTTTGGATAATAATTAGCATTTCGATAAGCCATTTCCCACCGAAATTTTCTCGAATCACTAACCAAACACTAGTTTTGTCCTATATACAGAATCAATTATGTATGGACGACTTGAAGGACAACAAATGTATTAACAAGAAAAAATTAATTCAAACAAATAAACGTTTCGAAAACAACTTAGCACCACTCAGATGCAGTAATGGAAATTGTGAAAAAAAGAATGCCACGTGACAACTAACAACA